GCTCCCATGTCGCAGTTGATTCATCTCGCTATTTGTGTCAAGGGATCCTTACCCAATATCATCGTTTCACCTACAAAGATGGTTTTGAGATGTTTTCAGTCTCATCACGTGTGGTAAATTAATAACATTTGGTAGGTCATGGGGACTTGTACCATTTAGGAATAATTATTTCAGAAGCTAGCAATCTCAAGAGCCCATTATATAATCACCAGTCCCTTCCCCCAATAATCGTCCCGTTAAGAAACCTTGTGGTATGGTTTTTGAGAGGTTGCTCATAGGAGATTGATTGTCGACTTAATAGCGACCCCCTGAAAGATCCAACAATTTTCCCGGGTGGTTCCATGATGTTTTCCTCATAAATTCCAAGTTTCCAACTGTTCAAAGTGGGTTTGTCAGAGAATAGGGTACCCCTAAACTCCATGGTTGATCATCGGTTTCCCCATGTACGTTGGGGCCAGGCTGTAGCCACCTTGGGCTGTGACCGACCAGCCGAAGACTTGCTTCTGGCCTTTCAAGAAGAGCTTTTGAGGAGAGGCTTATAGACTATATAGATGACTAGAGGGGGTGGAAATAGTAGAGGTCATCTCAAATCATCCAAAGTTCTTTTAAGAAAATGGCCGTATCGTATCGATTCTCGGAGCCAAATGGCTGAAGAAGATGCCCCGAATCCACGGTGGCACCAAGCTTCAGCTGGAGCCTGGGGCCATGGACCAGCGATTGGCCAAATTTCTGCTTAGGCTTAGAGCCGCCACAGACAATTTGAAGTATGCACTGATTGGGATGATTATTCTATATATATATATGTGTGTAACTTAACTATATTTGTACAAATAAATAAATAAATATCTATCTATCTATCTACCTATCTATCTATCTATGTATCTATCTATCTATCTTTCTTTCTATCTATCTATCTATGTGTCGATCTATCTATCAATCTATCTATCTATCTATCTATCTATCTATCCATCTATCTATCTATCTATCTATTTATCTAATCTATCTATCTGTCTGTCTATCTATCTATCGACTTCTCTCTCTCTCTCTCTGTCTGTATATCTATCTATCTATATATCTATCCATCTATCTGTCTATCTATATATATATCTATCTATCTGTACATATCTTTACATATCTTTACATATCGATACATATCTTTACATATCTGTACATATCTTTACATATCTATACATATCTATACATATCAATATATATATATATATACATTTCTATACGTATTTTTACATACCTATACATATCTATACATATCTTTACATACGTATACACATCTTTGTATATCTTTACATATCTTTACATGTATATATATACATTTCTTTACATATCTGCACATACCTACACATATCTTTTCATATCTTTACACATCTATGTATATCTTTACATCTCTATACATATAAATACATATCTATACATATTTTTACATTCTTTTACATATCTATACATATCTATACATACCCATACATATCTATACATATCTTGACATATAAATACATATCTATATATACATATCTTTACATATCTATACATATTTGTACATATCTTTACATATCTACACATACCTATACATATCTTTACAAATCTATGCACATCTATGTATATCTTTACATACCTCTTCATGTCTAGACATATCTTTACATATCTGTACATACCTACACATATATCTTTTCATATCTTTACACATCTATGTATATCTTTACATATCTTTACATATAAATACATATCTATACATATCTTTACATACCGTTACATACCTATACATATCTATACATATCTTTACATACCTATACATATCTTTACATATCTTTCCATTTAAATACATATCTATACATATCTATACATATTTTTAACATATCTATACATATCTATACACATCTATGTATATCTTTTCATAATTTTACACATTTATGTATATCTTTGCATATCTTTACATATCTATACATGTCTATTCATATCTATACATATCTGCACATACCTATACATATCTATACATATCTTTACATATCTTTCCATATCTTTACATATCTATACATATCTATACATACCTTTACATATCTATACATGCCTATACATATCTATACATACCTAAAAATATCAATACATATCTTTACATATCTATACATATCTATACATACCCTTTCATACCTATACATATCTTTACATATCTATACATACCCATACATATCTTTACATACCTATACATACCTATACATATCTATACATATTTTTTTACATATCTGTACATACCTATACATATCTATTTATACCTATACATATCTATCATATTTATACATATCTGTACATATATATACATATCTTTACATATCTATACATATCTATCATATTTATACATATCTGTACATACCTATACATACCTATACATATCTATACATTGCTTTACATATCTTCACATATCTTTAGATACCTTTACATGTCTTTACATATCTATGATATGTATATTAATATTTGCTTTGATTGACCTGACCTCAAATTGCTTGACTGCAACATGTCCACATGGTTCCACCTGGGATCCATCCGAAGGAGATGCACCTGGAAGATGCAACTTGGATCTGGCAGCTTGGCATGCGGTCGGACGTCACCTGCCCAAAGGGCAACTTGGGATAACCAGTATATATTCATACCATCTGGTAAACTAACATAGCTATGGAAAATGGCCATAGAAATAGTGGATTTAGCCATTAAAAATTGTGATTTTCCATAGTTATGTTGGTTGGTGGTTTGGAACATGAATTTTATGATTTTCCATATATTGGGAATAATGATCCCAACTGACGAACTCATATTTTTCAGAGGGGTAGGTATACCACCAACCAGTCATCAAATGTTGCTAAAATCGAGTAGTTCTGATGCAAATGACAAACTGACATGCATGCGCATCCTTTGTTGAACTGTTTTTTGATCCAAACGACAAACTGACACGCATGCGCATCCTTTGTTTGGCAAAGCCGACAACTTCGTGCTTGGCTGGTACATGGTTGTTGGAGATTGGTTTGTCTCATGGCTGTTCACACCAAGCAATCGATAAATTTTCCAGGATCTCACGTCGCGATGTGACTAGAATCATCCCCAAACGGCCAAGCAAACGGCTTTGACTTTGGTGAAAAATTTGGTGAATCATGGGCGAAAATGATCAAGAAGAAATGTGGATACCAACTAGTTGGCTTATGTCTTGGAGATGTCTTGGAGATGTCTTGGAGGTTTCAGTGGGAGTTAACCGAGCAAGATTGGCGATTTAACGAATGACAGAGATCAATTTATCCAGATCCATAGCATGTGTGCCCCCCATATATAATTTGTGTTGATTTATGAAGCCCATGCATACGGAAGTTATAAGTATCGTAAACCACAATGACATTGGAGTTATAGCCTAAGTTATAAGTATCGTAAACCACAATGACATTGGAGTTATAGCCTCATCAATTTAGCTATCATACATCAGCTATAAATCCCATGAAATCCATGTTTCTCTTGTGGCCACGCCCGCATTCCGTCAGGACCTCAAGCCACCGCCGAAGCATTGCTCACCGTGCTCTGGTCGGCCACTTTTGCGGGACTTCTACAGGAGCATCTTGCGCTCTTAAAAGAAAAGGGAGTCGACACGTGGCAATCCCCAAAAAGACTGTCGAAAAGTGAAATCGGAATCAAACATAGTGTTTTTTTTTTCGAAAATTGGTTCTATCCTTTAGATTCCTTTAGACTATGACTAGTTTGGATACTTAATCCTCTGGATTATGATGATTTACCGATTTACCTGCAAAGACATTAGAGAAAGTGGTTTTTCAAGATCATTAAACGTGATAATCCACATGGTTTTCTTGGATGCCTGAGATAATCCACGTTTTGTCTGGGTACATTTTTCGGAAGGAAAAAAGGGCTTGAGATGATTGAGATGTGTCCGGAAAGATTGGAATCTGAAGTCATTGATGGTTTCGTTATATTCCATGATGAATGGGATGGACAACATCAGGGATTTTTGAATGGTATTATTGTTGTATTTGCAAATCATCAATCAGTAACAATGATTAACAATGATTATTATAATTATTGATGATTGCGAATGGGAACATTGATTATCAGCAAAACATCAATCATCATTAGCAAATGATGATTATTAATTATATGATTGCGCCTCCTCCCCCTGCTGCTTTTCAGAATTGTTCGGGGGGGGGTAGCTATTCATTGCAGCAGTCAAAGCATTGAAAGTGGACCTGGTGGTTTTACGGGATGTTTTTTTTGCCATTTCCATCGTCATTTCCATCAAAAAAATGTGACCTAAATGATTCAGGTTTCCGAATGGCTCGAAACCACCAAGCAGTGATGTTTTTGTTCCTGATGAACCCATGAGAGCTCGCCTTTTTGCAGGAAGAGCAATGGATTCAATGCCAATGGTCTGATGATTGTTTCCAATCCTGAACGTTAGTTGGTGTACAGAAACCATGAGAAACCCACTTTTTTTAGTGACAAACATGAAATAAAATGAATCACCCTGAAATTGAATGCAGAAACGCATTTATGTTGGTCATACATATTGTTATTCTCGTGCCTTGCTCTTGAAAGGCTAAGATCTAGCCAAACCTTCGCGTTTGGTCATTGTCTACATAGGGTTCTTGATACGCAACTGAACCTCATCGGAGGACTTAATTGAGTACTCTCAAAAACCTTCGGGTTGGTTGACGATTGTAGAAAATTATACACTGATTGTCATAGTCCACGAATTGAGAATCCAGGTTGACCAACCATTTCTTTTGGTATTTTCCAACTGATTTTTAGCACATTTTATCTCCATCCCTCTTAGCCAAGATCCAACCCATGAGTGCAGAACATGGATAATGGCGAGTCAAACATGGTTAAACATTGTATAAATTTAGGGCCCGACTGTCTAGATATTGACCCACCTAAATTGGGGGATATTTTTTTAAACCTAATTTAAGTGAGCTCCATGGTGAGCCAGAGGTGGCTCCAACATGTTCCTTCCCCCCAGGCGCGTCCGATCTGCGGTGCATCAGTTTCTGCTGCAAGAAATCGTTCCGCAATTCGATGAGCTGGGCGGCGATCTGCTGCCACTGGCGTCAACGTCGGCCTCACAGGAAGCAGAGGATCCCAAGATCAACATGGATTTGGGGGACAGGTTGCTGGGATTTGGCAGAGATTTTGGTACCTTTGCCGACGTATCCTGCATTTTGATCGGATCTGCCAGAGCTTGGCGTGGTTGAAAGTTTGTTGGTTTGGCGTCACCCTCTCCTACAGGCTGCGATAAGCCATATTTCTTGTAATCTGAATGATCCTGCATAGGTTGTACAAGGTTGTACTTCTTTATGGCTACAGATAATCACATTGCTATGGATCCATGCCCATTATTTGATATTCATGGATCTGGATGAACATCCACAAATCCCAGCTATTTGGATGTTCGCCAGGGGATTCCATGGTGTTTTCACTGCGCTATCCCAAGGTTGGTGATCTACAAACCCCCCGGTTGGGAAGTGGACACCACGATCTCCCCGGGTCCCAGCTCCGGCCGTTTGCTGTCCGCCTTTCTCCGTGATGTGCTGCCCCTGGGCTCCCTGGGCGCATCGCATCAGTTTGGATTTCTCCATCGCTTGGACCTACCCAGCTACTTGGACTGGCTGATTTTGGTTGGATTTTTCGGCTGGAAGAATATGGGCCCAAGGTAGACTACGTTGACTCATCCCACTCCCAAGTTGAAAACAAACACCCCAAAAAAGACCCAGTTTTAGTTGATTCTTCAGATTCAACAGTAGGGTTTGTTAATGTCTTTGGTATTTAGCACTCTGTCTGATGGGATTAGATGATTGGTCAACTCACGAGAGGTGTGAAGGGATATGATAGAGTCATATAGAGTCAATTCGAAAGAATCATTGTATCATCGACGGGGCGTCAGGCTACGAGTATGGAAGTGGCGTCTCAAGATGTTTCTCCACAGCCCATAAACATCCTACAATGTGAGGCCCCCAAGATATAAGTTGGTTTAGATTCGCCCCAGTAACTATTGTTATAAATACCATAAACCATAGTTATTGGAGTTATAAACCAACTTAGCTATCCAACGGGGGCCTCACATTGTAGGCTTCAATTTGAACCGTCAGGTTCTGGACTGATCTTAGTGGCCAAGAGCCATCAGGCTTCGACTGGGACATGGATTTCGACTGGCTTGTGTCTAGTGAAAAGGTGGGAAAAAAAACATGGAAAAACCATGAACCACCCAAAATCTAATGGTTGAGAAAAGCATGTTCCGAATGTTCCGCGTGAAATCTGGGGGTAAATCATGGTAACTCATGGTAACAATCACCATTTTGGAACTGTCAAAATTTCGGCGGAGATGTTTTTGGATTTTTCAGGTGGGTTTTCCATGGTTTTGCCTTTGAAAATCCATGTTTCAGCATGGTCAGTATCAGTATTTCTGTACGCACCGTTTGGAAATCAAGTGGAGTCACCACGGACCTGTCTAGAATTGTCTGGATATTAAATGTTCATAATTCTTCATAACTATGCTTCACCAGTTTGAATGATTATCAATCTACTGTAAATCGCTCCAATTGTATAGAATCGTGGTGCCAGCAGTGCCAGCCATTTGAGTCCTGGCATCCCCAAGCCGTTTGGGACCAAATGCGCTTTGGAGCTACGAGTAGCCATTTTGCCATATAGGGAGCCAACGAGCTACTAAGAGTTTCCCAACCATATGATGATCAATATCCATGGCTCTATGGTAGATTATCTACAATAGCTTAAAACATATTGACATACAGGTTATGTATACTATCAGCACCAGAATGCTTGGCGCGCCAGGCATTTTACGATCTTCAGTTGCAGCTGTCCACTGGCACGTTGCAACGGGACTACATGGTGTTGTGCCACGGTTGGGTTTCAAAACAACGCCATGAGATTCGAGCAAAAGTGCATTGGTGGAAAGTGCTTGGACTTTCAAATGATCTTTGGCCAAAGTGGGTTGAGGAGTGGGGCTTACCCTCCAGTGTCAACAAACATCGCTTTCTGGGAGTTTCAGTCAATGGTCCTAGGAATGAACACGGTGAGCTAGTGGGATGGCATGTTTCGGTAATCTTGTTCGGTTTCTACCCCATTTATATTAACATATTGAAACCATGTAAGGAGGCAAACCCTATAATAACCTCTGTTCCAAGTATGGTGCTTATATAAATGAGTCCACCAAAATGGATCAAAATGGATCAACAATTGGATAAACTTGGTGACTATGGTTGATTGTTGGGTTTATCACATTATTTAGATGCCAATAGGTGCTAACCCCTGCCAACGCAGAGAATGATACCATGATGCAATGATGCAGACGGCCGCAAGCTGCCCTCACATGTCTCCACATGCGATAATCCGTTGATATCCGCTGATACCCGTTGAAACTTGTACAAGTCTCCACTTTATTTGTCGATCTTTGGATACTGGGTAGTTATTAGTCCGCATTTATGGCAGCACCTGTTGATTCCCATAATTTTCTTTAACTTCCCATGACATGAAGCCCCAAACGTCCAGCTGTGACCTCAGGTTCCCAGTGCAGTTCTTCGTTCCGGCCGTGCGTCCGTCACCTTCCTGCAGCGGCTCCAACGCACGCAGCTGGCGTTTTCCAGCGCTTGCAGCTTGCTGGCCATCCGTATCGGCACCGGACGACGGCATCAGATTCGACTCCATACGGCCCATGTGGGACATCCAGTGGTCGCAGATAGCCAATATGCTGCCAAAGAAGTGTACAGAATGGACACCAGATGGTGTCCGCGAAATTTTCTACATCGATTTTCCCTCACTTTTTTGGGTCAGGGCCATGAAAGCACCACTGTCTTAGAGGTTTTACCTATGGATTTACGGCAGGTCCTATGGACGGCGACCTGGAGAGATGTGGAACTGGAACTGGACAGTCCGCTTGGGACGGCGCCAGAAAAGGGTCATCCCCTCCGGGATCCATCTGGATCCTGTTTTTGTGGAACATCACTGAAATATGCTGGTTTTCTGGCATGGGGCTACCCCTAGTTATCATTGAGATAGGATTTTCCATGAAATAAACGATCCATCCAGCTATTGGGGTATCCCCATTCTTGGAAATCCACATATGAATCTCAAAATGAATCTGAAAAAACTCTTAAACCTCAGAATTTGAATCCAATGACTTTGTTTTTCCCATGTTTTTTCGACCTAACCTGGAGCATTTGGAGCCCCAGCATCTCACCGGTGGTGCCGGCCCAGGTGAAAAAGAATGGTCGCACCTTCATGCAGGTCATAAAGCGTACCCGTACCCCCGATGGTGGCGTCAGAGAGGTGTGGTTGGTCGCTATCCAGTGGTGGGAGCGGTGGGGCCCATTGGGGTTCCAGATTCCCTGGGGAGCGAGTTGGAGCTACAAATAAAGTTTTCTAACCACATGATAGCAAAACAAAGATGGGAAATGAGGCAAAACATATGGATAACCATGGGTCAACAAAAGGGATGGGTACTTGGACACGACATGTTTTTGCTGTAAATGGGGATGCAAGATCCTAGCCAGCTAAAGCAGTTCTTTGCAGGGTATCGCAGGATGGCCATGATATATTTGATAGAATGATGTATGATGGAACTTACAACACTCAATCGCGGCAAAACATTTGAGATAGAAAGCAGCGCGCCAAGAGAAATTTTACCCTTTTGATGGTTTTGTATCTACCCATCTTGGCAGGAAACAAGCGAATTTGAGATGGGATGAAGAGAGCAAAACAGACCTTCATGTACAGCAGCAGACAAGCTGGAAAAAAATAAAAGACTATCAATTACAAAATCTGTGTTCGGACTTTTTAGGACACCTTACATACTGGAATTTAACCTTATCCTTTATGTAATATTAATTCCGGAATTAATGAATAAAAAACATGAATATATAAATATATATCAAAATATAATTTTAATAA